ACATCCCAGCTGACTGCGCCTGGCACGCCTCAGCAGAATGGCGTAGCAGAACGGAGCAACAGGACTCTTATGGAAATGGTTAGGGCAATGATGAGTTATAGTATATTACCAGATTCGTTTTGGGGATATGCCCTAGAAACAGCGGTATACATTCTGAATTAAGTACCTTCTAAATCAGTACCGTCTACACCATTGGAGTTGTGGTCTGGGCATAAGCCCAGTCTAAGACATCTCAGGATTTGGGGTAGCCCAGCACATATGCTGAGAACCGATACTGATAAGTTGGAACCGAGATCAGAAGTAAGGCTGTTTGTGGGATATTCTAAAAAAACAAAAGGTGGTCTATTTTATAGTCCCGAGGACCAGAAAGTAATCGTTAGCACGAATGCTAGGTTCTTGGAAGAAGACTATGTCTTAGATCATAAGCCCAGTAGTAGACATGTTCTTGAGGAGTTAAAGGGAGTGAGTACTTCAATACCGAGTGCGCTAGATGTTACACCACAAAGTACTGCAACACGTATCGCTGATGATGGACCTGAGCAGGTAGTACCTCGTCGTAGTGGGAGAGTTGTTCGGCAACCCGAACGGTTCATGGGTCTGGGAGAGTCTTCTGAGGCCGTCCCGGACGTTCTTGATACCGACCCATGGACATACAATGAGGCACTCCAAGATCGGGACGCAGAGTCTTGGCAAAAGGCGATGAAGTCTGAATTAGAGTCAATGGACACTAATCAGGTCTGGGATCTTGTAGAGCCACCCAGTGGCATTCGAGCCATTGGATGCAAGTGGGTATATAAGAGAAAGAGAGGATCAGATGGGAAGGTTGAGACCTTCAAAGCTAGGCTTGTTGCGAAAGGGTACACTCAGAAAGAAGGGATCGATTATGAAGAAACCTTTTTGCCGGTAGCCATGCTCAAATCCATCAGGATTCTCTTGGATGTGGCCGCTCATATGGATTATGAGATTTGGCAACCACTCAGAGAGAAGGGATCGATTAAGACCGCTTTCCTTAACGGGAATTCGGACAAGGACATCTATATGCAGCAACCAGAAGGATTCATTGCAAAGGGCCAAGAGCATCTGGTCTGCAAGCTGAAGAGGTCCATTTATGGGCTGAAGCAAGCTTCGAGGTCTTGGAGCATCCGTTTTGACGAGGTTGTCCAATCGTATGGATTTACCCAATGTCCGGATGAGCACTGTGTGTACAGAAAAAAGTGATGGAAACGTGGTGGTGTTTCTAGTGCTGTACGTGGATGATATTCTTCTCATTGGAAACAGTGTGAAGATGTTGTCAGACGTAAAGGTATGGTTATCCAAGCAGTTTGATATGAATGATTTAGGTGAAGTAGGACATGTTCTCGGAATCAAGGTTATTCGCGACCGAGAGAAGAGAAAGTTGTGCCTATCCTAATCCACATACATAGACATTGTCCAAAAGCGTTTCAACATGCAGGATTCCAAGAAAGGGGATTTGCCCTTTCGGCACGGAATACCTCTATCTAACAGGATGTCCCCGAAGACGCCTCAGGAGATAGAGGACATGAAGGCAGTTCCTTATGCATCGGCAGTAGGAAGCCTCATGTATGCGATGTTGTGCACGCGACCTGATATTTGTTATGCCGTGGGCATGGTAGCAAGATATCAGAGTAATCTAGGGCCGGAACATTGGTCTGCGGTAAAACATATACTCAAGTACCTTCGTAGGACTAAGGAGTACATGTTGGTTTACCAGGCAGATGAGTTGCTTCCGTTGGGTTACACCGATTCTGACATTCAGGCAGACCGAGACGAAAGCAAGTCAACCTCAGGGTTTGTGTTTACTTTAGGAGGAGGAACCATAGTATGGAGGAGTGTCAAGCAAAAATGCGGGGCGGACTCAACCATGGAGGCTGAGTATGTAGTAGCCTCAGAGGCAGCGAAAGAAGCTGTCTGGCTCAGGAGTTTTCTCCTCGACCTTGATGTGGTATCGAGTTTGCCCGCTGCAATCACAGTGTTCTGTGATAACAGCGGAGCAGTAGCAAATTCGAAGGAACCACAGACTCATAAAGCAAGTAAACACATAGAGCGCGAGTACCACCCGATACGAGAAATCGTTGAATGAGGAAAAGTCGTTGTTGCCAAGTAGGGCAACATAGGAGACTAGTCTTTGAGAATTAGATTGAAAGAAATTGTGGTTATTTTTGTTTAGCCATGAGCTTATAAAGCATAAGTGGGAGATTGTTAGAGGTATGCTGTAAAAGCTGTGTTTTGCAGTTTCTATAAAAAAAAAATTTGATCTGGCAATCATGTTTCGGTCAAAGTACATATGTTTGCAGTTTATTTATTTATGCAATACATACTCCATGTCTTATATTGAGATAGTGTGGTTCGAAGAGTTTTGAACGGAAAGATCACCTATCGGTTCCTTATAAGACTAAACTATTCGTTCACAGTCTAGACTGGCAGTGAGGCCCCACTTGGAAAAAGATTGTAGTGTATTCTCGATTCAGTTGGTCTTTGACTAAAGGATTACACTAGCACTTATGTTAAGTGTTGAACAGGACCACGGAAGGATAAGGATATGAGACTCACTGACCGTTGTCGTAACCTAGACCTTCAGTGATTGATGCGTTCTCTTAAGCTGTAAAATAATATAAAATAGGCATATATTATTATTTCTTATTTATTTGATTTACCAAGTGATTCCTATTCCGTTAGGATGACATACAAGGTATTTTGGTAAGTAAGAATAATTATATGATATGCTATTATAGATTATTTACAGTCACTATGTTCCAGTGCGCTGGATTGATGACGTCCCCGAAATGAGCTCAGAAAGGAACCTTATGTTAAACCCTGCAGGTAGACGATTGTCTGACATAATGGTTAAAGGCTGAGTGGTACTAATTTCGGAAATGAATAAGAAGTTGATTGATTACTTTGATAGTAATTTAATTAATCAACGGACGTTATATCTTAAACATAGGGAGGTAAATCAATCAATCAGATTAATATTATTTAATCATGGAGGCTCGATTTTTTTGGTAAAATAGTGGCTAAATGGGGAGAGCAATAATATTACTCTAGTGGGATGTTTTATTATTTAATTCCATTAAATAGGAATTAATTTTATTCCATATTAATTAATTAATTAGGAGAATAAAATTCCTACTAGAATCTTCTCTTGGGATTAGAAGACTTGGGAGTCTTCTAGAAGATGAAGATTAGTGGGAAATATGTTTCCTACATTGTATTAATTAATTGGGTAAAATTAGGTTTCCTAAATTAGGATTTAATTCTATTCCATGTTTATTAATTTAATTAGGAAAGGAAATTCCTACAAGGATCTTCTCTAGTGTTAGGAGACTTAGGAGTCTTCTAGAAGAGAGAGATTAGTAGGAGATCTCCTTCCTAGATTGAGTTAGTATTGGATTGGAATTTGGAGTCTCAGGCCTAATGGAATAAGCCCATATTTAGCACCTCCTTAAGGTCCCTAATGGAGCCTATATATACACCATGTCCCATACTCTTCTACAAGAGTTGTCTTGGCCGATTTTTCCC